AAAAAAAAAAAAAAAAAAAAAAAAAAAACGCATGGGCAGGCAAAACGGCTGTCCATAAAATGAAATTGCATGCATTATAGAAGTAGAAATCTATAATAACGGAACTAATAATAATGATAGAAATAATAATGAAAATAATAAAAAATAATAACAATAATGAAATGATAATAGTATAAAAATAATGTAATAATAATTTAATATAGATAGAGAAATATTACTTAATAATGAAATAGCATAAGAAGTATAGAAATAATAAAAATAATAATAGGGCAATAATGAAAATTATGAACTTCGTTCAAAATTAAGTAAAAAAGCGATATTCTTAGTTAAAACGAATCGCGTAAAATGATAGAAATAATAAATTAATTTGGAATTTGTGCTAAAAATAAATTAAATACAAGATTAAGTAAAAAAGCTATGTAACAATTCAATTTAGTTGATAATTTATAGCTTTAATTATAAACTAGTCTATTAATTACAGAAATAGAATGCCAAAAAATAATGATAAAATTTTCAAACTAAACATAAGATTTAATAACTAGGATATTTATTAAACTAGAAAAGTTTTATTAAAGTCAAAACATTATATTTTTTTTTAGTAAAAAGAGCAATTTTCCGATGAGAAAAAAAACATGGTTGAAACAAGCAGATTACAATAAAATTTACCATGTTTCTTACTTTATGAGAACATCCTAAAGCATGGAATTTTTTAACGAACAATTAGGTTATGACTTTTGGTAAAATGAACAATAAAATATAGATTTATTGCTCTGCTGCTTGGTAACAAGTGAGATAAAAGTTGGTAATTTTTTCATGATACGTTAGAGCATGGCAGAATCCATTTATTTGGTTTTCAGCTTTGTATTTTTACTTAATATATGTAAATAAGAACTGTAATTTTGAAATCCGGAATTTCTGGTAAACCGTTTCCATACAGATGGAAAAAACTACGTAATAAATAGTTTAAATACTGTATATTGTGGCTTTTTTTTTGTTGCCAGAATGTTATTACCATGCAGAATGGAAATTTTTACCGAATTCTTGTCTTTGTGCAAGATTTATCTATCAAATATTTTTATATGGTTCTGAAAGATTAATAAATAATACATAGATATAATAAATATTACAAAGATAGCAGATTTATACAGTCTCTCTACTAAAGAGAAAAAACAAATTACATTAGAAAATCTGATATTAATATCCATGTTTATTAATATGAAGACATTTCTAAAAAGTCAGCAAAAGTTTCTACCTTTTAAAGATTCCCTAGACGTGATTTTGTGCTAATCGTTTGTGTGCTTGAAATTTAAAAAAAAAAAGGTTTAGATTGTTTTTACAGCTATATTTCCTATATGATAAATTTCAGCTAAAACTTTTACCTGTCACTTTTTTTTAGCATATAGCACATATTACAATCCAAATAATTCGCATTTTAGTAACATATTATTAAATAACTAAAATCGAAATTATAATAATAATTAAGATTATCAAAGCTAAAATTGAAAGGATTTATAATTTACTCGTTTTAAATTTGCGCGTAATGAATTAATTGGCGAGCAACAATGAGCAGGACGTGGAGTCCCTTTTACACATATAAAGTAAATTATTAGAGAAAGCATGAATGATAGGGTCATTGTATTACATGAAGTTGAATTAACCGAGCTAAGTGAGCTTAAATTGCGATGCAATCCAGAAAGAAATACGTAAGCTAGTTCCAGTGTTTGGAGAGCATAAATGAACTTTTACAAGGATTTTACTAGAATTTTTTTTTCTAAATGCACTTAAAGAAAGAAAAGAATATAAAATTATCATATGTACTTAAAATTACTTTTATGTATACTTTAAATAATTTTATGTATATTTTAAATAATTATAATAAAATCTAAGATAAAATATGAAGAAAATAAAAGAAACAGTTCTTCAAACTCAATAAATGAGTTTATTATGTATGTTACAATTCTAATTTTTTCTTCCCTGTTCATGAACATAAGTTATTCTACAAGTTACATAAATTTTATACATTATATATATATATATATATATATATACCCCAGTGTTATTCTTCTGTCTTTAAAAATTGTATAGTGGAGGTGTTAAGAGTATAATTTTAATTTTTGCACAATTATAATTTGAATAAAAATTGTGGCCAGTGAAAAAAATTTGAAAAATAAAAAGAATTTAAAAATTATTGTATAATTAATTTTAAAATTGTTAAGAAGTAACGCAACAAACACGATTTGTAATTTTATAATTATCAGAAAAAAGTACAAAATTTGTATTTCAATTGATGTCAATGTAAAAAAATAATGTAAAAAAATATAAAAAATTTAGAAGCTTGTGCAGTTTTTCTGAATTACTTTTAATATTTTAGTTT